GCGTTGGTCACAGCCAGCTCGCTGATGAGTTCATGATTGGGTCAAGACGCTTAGAAGTTCTCCATTTTTACAGAATCTGGTTGGACCCAAGTGCCAAAATGCATGAAAGACAACATTTTAAAAAGTATTTCTTGAAAGAAGTTGTGGTTCATGTCGCTTTTCACTTTCACTTTTCAAAAATATAATTTTCGTGAGCAAGACACAAGAAATTGCATTCAGCAGCATTTTATTTTGGTCGAAGCAGATTTGTTATGAAAACTGGACGAATGAAACTCTCGGCTAACAGGGTGAAAAGTGGTGTAATTTTGTTATTAAATGAGCGGCTCTTCAGTGTTTCGTTATATTGCCTGTACTTGAAGTGAAAGCGCTGTAGAAAGTCACAGCAGACCAGGTGCCTCTTTGCCTCCCATACATTTATCCTCAATCTCAGCCACTTCACAAACTCCCCTTCATCCATTTACCAGGCAGCAGCACCGCAGGCACCCCAACCTTCCACCTCACACAGCGTCGGCCCATTAGCATAATACAACAACAAAAGTATCTCCGAACAAAGTAACTGGCGACCTGCGCGACCCCAGCTACCGACAAGACAACAAAACTTCCCTTTCCTAACAGTTTCCTCTTGGGGGCTGCAGCCGGAGAGCAGCGGTGGTTCAGGGAGCCTGCAGCAAAAAAAACTTCCACACTGGCAACATATGAATCATCAAAGTGAGCCTACACACTGTGCCAGGACACGAAACAAAACCTGCAGAGTGACTCACACCCTTACATTTCATTTGGAACAATTCGATACTGATTAGATAATACTGACGGCGAGCGCTTTCAGTGAAAAACGGCCTTGGAAATGTTTTTAGCTGCCGCGGTGGCCTGGTAGTGGTTGAGGGCAAAGCGGCGGGCGGGAGGGAAGCGCTGATGTGGGCGGCCTCGCCGAGCCTTTGACTGTATCTGGTCGCCCAATAATGCCGGCTGTTGCGTAACCGTCACTGAGTGTAGACTGGAGGGTTTTTTTTGTTTTTTTTTTGAAACAGGAGGGTTGAGGTGATGTAATGTCTGTGTCTGAGCTGAAGGGTCATGTTCAAGAGCCGCCACTAGGAGGAGTGAGTGGGCCTGAGCTGGCAGCATAGTGAGGATGATGGAGAGCGATAAGGCCAAGAGGTGTGAGCACTGCAGACATTTTCATCATCATTCAACCGCCTTTAATATCTGTTTCTATAAAAACAAGCAATGTAGGATTTCCTTTTGGTAAAACGCACAACATGCATGTCCATTTTTTAGCTCTACTGTCAACAACGTTTGGATAAAAGTTCTGTACAGTTTAAAGCTAAGGTGGCTAAGAATGATTTTAAAGCAAAAAGAAAAACAAAATAATGTTGAATACAAGAAGAAAGAGAAGCTTTTATTTGTCACAAATACATGATGTCACTCTGAGAGAGCTGGACTCAGAGAATGTGATCAGGTGTCCTTATATGATGGAGGTCCAGCAGTGGCTCAGCTTCAACCTTCAGCCTTCCTGTCAGCGACCCAGATCCATTAACAACCAAACGTTTTTAAAATGTAATTTACAATAGGATTGGTGCCGACACTTTTATACAAATCAGTGTCTGTATTTTAAAACAAGTTGCTTTTATCAATATTTTTTGTGTTTTTTTGTTTTACTAGATATAAAAATCTGTAAAATAACAGCAAATAGTTTCATAATTACATTTTTGTAAAAATACAGATTTTTGATCATTATGTGCAGTTTTGGCCATTTTTTATGATTAACATGTAAATGAGTCATTTTTTGTATGATTTGTTAGTTGCTAGTGAATATCTCAGTATTATTATTATTATTATTATTATTATTATTATTGTTATTATTGTTATTGTTGTTATTGTTGTTAGCAGCAGCAGCAGTAGTTGTAGTAGTTATAGTATTATACAGCCAAAATGTTTTATTTTTTATTTATCTACTTTAAATACAGTGTAAAAAAACAAACAGATGTTATTTACAGCTTTTTATGATTAAAATTTAATTCAATGCTTCTTTGTGATTATGATAGATACTCACATTTTGCAAAACATATGGCGGAAAAAATGAAAATAACAGCAAGACGCTGTAAATGTTTTCTTTTTTGAGCTGTTTGAATTCCAGTAAAATGTAATTTTGTTTGACTTTACTGTATATTGTCTGTAATTTAACAAAACTGAAAACTAATGTTAAAAATAGCAACAACATGTTTTAAAAATATATAGTTAAAAACTATTAGAAACATCTGTGGCCTGTTTGTTTTTACAGTCAACATTTATCTTTTCTGTGGCTTTACTAGATATTGTCTGTAATTTCACCAAACTGAAAAAAATACAAATAAAAAAATAACAGGTAGATTTTTTTTTTTTCCATTTTCTAATTCTTCATATCCTTATATGTATGTATAAACATCCACATTTTAAAAAATCAGCAGATATCTGTGCAATCAGGATTCTTTAGATGATTTCAATGCAGAAAATGTGTGATTTTTTTCAGGCTAGTGTTATAAAGGATCCACAACACTATTTGTACAGGTACAGATTTGTGATGTGACACAATTTACACATTTCACCTGTAAATAATACATTTCAACCCAAATCTGTTTATTTTTTTGTTTTGGGTGATTCTTAATGTGGACATTTTATAAAGTTCTCCGACTTCCTCCCGCAGTCCAGAAACATGCTGAGGTTAATTGGTGATTGTAAATTGTCCGTAGGTGTGAATGTGAGTGTGCTTGGTTGTCTGTCTCTAAGTGTAGCCCTGTGATAGACTGGTTACCTGTCCAGGTGAACCTGCCTTCACCCTGAGTCAGCTGGGATAGGCTCCGCCCCCCATGACCCTGCTGAGGTGTAGAGATGATGGATGGACATGAACATTATATAAAGTGTTGGCCTGATGTTTTGTTTGTTAGCATCAACACTAACACTTTTATGTGATTTAACTCTCCGTCTGTTCATTTAATCCGATTTAACTAGTTATCTGTAAATTGAAAAAAAAAACAGGGAATACCAGTAAAATAAATGAAGTGTTGTCACAGTGCATGTGCAGTGTGTTTGTATAGACTGATTTATTGCCATCATGGATGATCACCGTGTTAAAGGCTGTAACGGGGCTCATCGGCTCAGTCATTTTAATGTACTGAGGATTTGTTCATATCTTGTATTCAAACATTTTTTACTCTTACAAATGTAGAAATCAGCTCCTGTGAGCTCCTTTGTGACTGACAAGGTTATTTACAAGGTTCAGAGTGGATGTGGTGTCTTTGTGCCGGAGCTGCCCTGAGAGGCAGAGGCCGACAGATGGATATGTGATCAACTCAACATGACTGATTTTCCCTCTTCATCACACACGGAGACGTTGCCTGTGCCGGCTGATGAATGACTTCATAGATGTGACAAATATATCGGCCTCATACCTCGGAGGAGAAATAATGGTCAGAAAAATGAGCTGCTGTGTTGTGTGGTGTTCCTCAGATAGAACCGGCTTTTTCTCTGATTTTGTCTCTTCTGCTGCTCGCTTTATGTTTGAGTAGAGCAGATGTCAGGAGGAACGTAGCAGGTCTGAGTCTGAGCAGGGCAGCAAGAAAGTGCAATTCATAACAATTGCACTGGAAACGTATTTTCTGTTCTTCCTTAATTCGAGCACTTAGCTTCACCAGGTTTTCCCCCGTGGATCATTAATTTGACTCAGTCTAATTAGTTTGTTATTGCACCTTAAATGTTAGAATAGTATAACATTACTGCTGCATAAAGCCTGGTGAACATGAGTCAGTGGTGTTCCTGTTTTTCTTTGATTTACTGGCCTCAGGGCTCAAGAAACCCAATTAAAACTCCACAATAACGGCTGCACAAACTACATGGCTGGGAATGTCAAACGGAGAGTGGTCATCTAAACTTTGCAAAGGTTTGAAAAGCAGAAACATCAGAGGCTTCTGCCTGATGGTTAGAAATGACTATTATGGGTTTTGTAGGAATCTAATATGAACCAGACATTATAACAGCAGCTGGCTGTAAACCAGCATTTTGTGCAGAAGTATAAAACAGCACAGATTCTGCTGGTTCTGAACTAAAGGTGAGCTTGCTTTTATTTGTGCATTTCTCCTAATTGTTTTGTTGATCCTTTTACTTTAATTGTTAAAACAGAAGAGGCCGACCCCACAGCCTGCAAAATGCACTCAGTCCCAGCGCTGAAAACAATTTAAATCCATCAACGTGAAGCCACTTTGAATACATTTTGAATTTTTCCCCCCGACAGCAGCATTAGGACAGGACCTGCTCCATTAATGATGTGGCCATATTTTATCACGGTGTTGTTCCAGTAGCACTCGGCTCCTATAGCGGCGCACAAAGCTTCGTGGAGGGGAACCCAGTAATATATCTTCCTGCTGGGGCTTTGCTCTGAATTACAGCAGGAAAAACAAAAGGTTAATTACATCGGGAGACTCCGCTTTGCCTCTGACCACCCAGATTGTCTCCCTTGGTGTTTCAGTTCAAGCTGCTTTATTGGCATAAATGTTGCATGAATGGAGGGAAACACCTTTAAACAAAACAATACCTGTGTGTTTCCATCCATTTTCTGCTGTGTTGTCCGTCTTCTCGCCTTTTTCTGTTTCTGTCACCCTGAATTTACATTGAGTGCAACAATCCACATGTTAAATGCAAACGCATGATAAACGGTGCGTCCTCTTGACCAGAATCCTCCATCATGACCCCGTTTATTTCTTCACATCCCAGCATCTTTAGCTGCCGCTGGGCGCATTACATTGAGATTCAAGAGGTTATCTGACTGGTGATGGGATTGCAGCCGCCTGAAGGATCGCCACAGGTTCAAGCTTTTCTTTTTTTTTTTTTCTCAAGCACCACATATGGCTGAGCTTCAATGAGCACAACTTCTTTTCTCCTGCCGTTTAGGAGACAACACCGAGGAGAACAGGTTCTGAGGATGCCTTTTGTGAAGCCTCTAAATGTGTGTGTGTGTGTGTGTTTTACAGGGTGGTGGGTCCGGCTGTGACCTTCAAAGTGAACCCCAACACTCAGAACGTCAGCACCGCAGATGTGGCCAACGTAGCAGGTAGGTTCTACTGGGCTGAGTGATGTTGTCTTTATCCTGACAGAGAAGGAGGGCGTCCATTATCATCGGCCTGCTGCTGCACCTGAGTCCCCACATGAGCATTTCTCAAAACTTATGACTCCTCGGTCAAATCTTTTCTTTTCTTTTTTTTCTTGCTTCCTTGCAGCATTTTGCCGTTCCTGCTCAGGCGCTTTACAGCCACTTAATCTGCTGCTTTGTTGGCTTCGTTTGGCTAACTGTGTGGCGCGTTTTGAAAGGAAGCCAGCTGGGTTTTCTGTTTTGTCACAAATCTTCGAGCAGCCATGTTTGCCTCCATCATGGAAATTCATTGGAGATTTGGATGTTTGCCTAAAAAAGATGCTCGAAAAATAGAAAGAGACACCAAATATTTGTTGGGGAAAGAGCCAGTTCGTTAGTGCCAAATGCTGATATGGTTGCATACTCGGTTAGCTGACAAGAACAAGAACTTGTGGGGAAAGTAGGAAGTAGACTTATTTAGCAATGCAACCACAGTTAACAAGGCTACGCTCAATACATTTAAAAGCAGCGATCACTACAACCTGTAGCTTCCTCACTGTCATGGAGCTTTGTTTTGAGCTACTTGCTAATCAGCTGTCTTGCCTCTTTGCAACTAAACTCCATCCTGTGTTCCCTGCTGGACTTCCCTTTATCATTGATCAACACTTCTCTGTATTGTTGGTGGTTTTCAGCCGACCAGTCTCATATTAGATGGACTGCCACTGATTACAATACAGAAAATGAAGGCTTCAAACATGTTGGTAAATCAATCAATCAATGTCACATTCAATGCGTTTCTCTACTATGTCACAGTGTTTTGTTTTGTTCAGAGGGTTGTATGTAGAATGAAGTCTTTTTTAGTTTATTTTATCAGTGTGTTGGATTATATTGAGCTGCTTTTATGTGTTGTTGCATTTTACGGCTGCATGTAAACATCACAAACTGCACCAGCTTAGACCTGGTGTTGGGAAGTATTCAAGCTGGAGCGCTCTGATAAAGGTCAGCATGCAGCGGCGTGTTAAACAGTTTATTAGTGTGTTTAATCAGCATCTGATGTGTGTGCAGGTGATTCCTCAGCATAGTATTAAAGAACATATGGTGTTAAATATGACGTCAAACAGGCTTGTTGCTCACATTCTTGGCCATCATGAAGTTTAAAACCAGCCCAACATGTACATTTATGTCCCTTTTAAAAGCCTTACTGGAAAATGTGATCAAAACCAGGACTGTGGAGTGATTTA